GGAGCGCCGCCGCGCTTCCCAAGAGGCGCACTATCCAGTGCGCCACCGGGCCGGCCCATAATGTACTTTATTTTAAACTGCCTCTATTATAGGACTGATTTTTTGTAAATTATATACACCCTTTAAAATAAAAATAAGTGCTATTTGGAATACAGCGTGAGTTTGTTTTTCTCAGGAAATCAACAACAAAATCATTAGGCTTTAATTAGTACTTCTCTTTCCTTAGTTAGAAACCTATCTACCTGCTGGAGATCAATGATGCTTATAAAGCAATTCATGACACTTTTTCTTTCTGAGAGTGACAAAAGAAAAAAGAACATACTGTCATAACAAACAGACCCTATTCATAGGTGTAATTTATGACATGAGCATAGTTTAACATGTACTCATGGTTCTGAACCATGGTACTTTTTGTTCATGTTGTCATTTTTTTCATCTCTGCTTCCCACCCCCTACATTATTAAGACCAAAGAAAGGACGAATGGTAACTTTATATTAAGGTTGCAATAGGGCCTCGAGTTGGCTGGGAGAGTGATTACCAGCAGGAGGCTCACAGGGATCGCACAGACCTTGTGAAAGGAGGAAAGGTGTTCTGACACAAGGTTAAGCCGTGTGATTAGGCGGAACCCCACTGCTGTTTCCATAACTGCAACAGTCTGCCTCAGAAAGACTCCGTTGTCCCTCTGCTACCTTTCCCAGTAGTTGGGGGATTAAGAAAAAAAAAAAAAAAAAAAAAAAAAAAAAAAAAAAGCAGAATAGAGAAAGGGAAACAAAAGGTTATTAAAATGCAATTTATAGACATAAAATGGAATTAGAGATGACATTTTAACGGTGGACTTTCTGAGAGCTGAGGGAGGAGAAAGAGGCATTATTAGATTTGCTCAGCTTGATGAAGAACCGACGAGTAAGATGTCAGTTCCAATTTAGTTTTCCTCATTTAATGCTGTTTATTATTTTAACCGATAATTTTCCTAATGCTTTAAAGTTCTTCTTTTACATTTTGCTCTTGCAAATAGAGCATTTCAGTCTAATTGAACAAATCCATACTAATCAGCGTGAGTATAATTGTGAGACGGGCAAGCTTAGCTCTAAAATGAGAAACCTGTTATATGACACTTTGCCTGTAGATGGCAGTAGAGAACTAGTGACTAAGTAACCATCTTCGTGGACTAAACCTGAAACGCACCCCTTTCCCGAGAGCAAATATACTTCAATGTTTTTTTTTTTTTAAATTTTTTAAAAACGTACATTTTTTAAAAGATTAAAATCTCACATTGCTTTCCGTGAGCACTGGGATAGCCTAGTTTCTAATCAGAACACGAAATCCTCCAAGCAGTTTTTAGTTTAAATACCCGGTGCCCCGGCATGTTTTTGAAATGCCTTTGTGAATTTAGAAGTAGAAACTGTCATCAGCATCACACCAGTACAGCACTTGAAAGAATCACGAGCCTCTCTCTAAAGGAAGGTGTGCCATCTGCATCCTCTCACAGAGCGGGGAAGCGGACATACAGTATGATTGTTGTTCAGGTTTGGGGATTGAATCTTTTATTCCCAGGTAGCCAAAGGCTAACATCTTATTCCAGGATGAACAACTTTGAGAGAACTTATCCTGTCTTCTAGTTATTGTACATTTCGTTAATCATAAGCACTTAACTGTACAATGCATTTTAATAGAGTGAAAACTATTTTTTGTTTTATTTTCCATATTTTGTTAGAGAAAATTTACTGACTGTTTTATACTGTATCTTTTTAGTTTAGAAATGTAATTAAGAGTCACCTTTAAAAGTAGCCCTGCTTTTGAAGATTAACTCTTAAAGAAAGAAATCCAAATTGTGGTGATTTATGGGGTTTCAAAACCTGACTCTTTTCCTTTTTTACTTCATAGTTAGGAAGCCCTCAAATTTAAGCCTCATGGGGTAATATTTTGCGAGGTCCAATCTGCTTTCTCTTAGGTGGCTAATGCTGATTTACTTGTGGAGCATTTTCCATTCCATGGCATTTGAAGAGGTATTCATATCTTTTGAAATTGAGAGGACATTATTAAATGTGCATTCGAAAACTTGTTTCATAAACTAGATCCATTCTAACAAATTGGCCTCCAAGATATTCATGAGGGATTTGTGTCTTTTCTTGCCTTTTTATTTTCAATGTGCAGATTTAGGATATTAGCTAGTTACCCTGCAGAAGAGGCATCGTAACTATATATATACATATCTAGTCAATGAAGAACAGCTTGGTCTGGAGTCTTAATCCTTTAGCACAATGTTGATCCACTGAGTTGCCCCATTTCTCTCTGCTCAGCCGGACCACGGGTTTACCATCAAGAGATCAGGGTCTTTGGACTACTACCAACAACCAGGAATGTATTGGATAAGGTATGAGATGGTGCAGCTCAACAGTCAGTGTTTCCATGGCAACGTGCTGGCAGTCTCCATTAACCAGTTCCTTCAGTGGATAAACATGCTTTTGATTTGTTATCCAGTCCATATGCTGCTTTATCAGTTTCATTTTAATCTTGATTGAGATGCCACACCCCCTCATTCCTTTTTTTCACCCATTATTCACACTGACATTTGCCAGCTTTCTTTCCATTGCACATGCTCAGTATCAATTTTCCTTCCGGTTAAAAGGACAGTATATTTAGCATTAATGCCAAAGCATTTTCCTGATGTTGCTAATTAAAGCAACGATTTCCAGTGCTCTTCTGTCCCTTAACAAATGGAAGAACAATAGTACCTCAGTGTATGTTCTATAGAAGTATATACTGTCATTTTAAAGTCATCAAGCTCAACCTTGACCTTATTAGATGGATGAAACAATGCATTTACACGTTAGTAGCAGAAGCGCCTCAAAGTACAGTGGGCTCCAGAATGCATTGTGTGTGTCAGTAAGCTTGTGTTTTCAAATTCTCCACCTTTTTGTTTTGTTTTTGTATTTGTTTTATTGTTACCTCTCTCCCCCTGGAAATCCCTCTATGTACTAGCTCTTGCATGAATTTATTTTTCAATATTTTGTAACTGTCAGATTATTTAGCTGGCTTATCTGCTCAAGCAAAAGGGACTATGGGAGGTATCAATTTTTTGTAACTGGGTTAAGAATCCTATCCAATCGTTTTCCATTCCAGCCAACTGCCCTGGCTTTTCCTTCAAGGGGCGTTGTTTGTGTCTCTAAGTTATCCACAAGCAGGATGGTTCTTGAGGGTTGGAGAAATGAACTCTGAGACGTCCTAGGGAAACTTTTTAAGGTTTCTAAAATGATCTCCAGGTAACGCTCCACATCTTAGTTTTTGCAAGAGAAATCCCACTGGTTTTGGCATTTGTTTTTTCCAAATGATGGAGCCTATCTGCAGTAATATGATGGCTACTTGATATTGTGTCATGGATTAGACGGCTAAGTTTTACAAAAAAGAAAAAATAGACATGTATGTGTATATATATACATATAAATGTATATGCATATATAATATATGTAATTTTAGCCCCCAATGATGACTCCTAAATATTTTTCTGTATTTAGACACTCAAAACAGAGAATGTAGGAAAGCAGAAAAAGGTACACCGTGACAAGCCATCTAAATATACTAAGATCATGATAATTTCCAAATGTGTTAAAGTAAGAAAACACCCAAACTTTAATAAAATATTTTTAAGTCACTTTTACATGGAAGGCTATTTGTATCTTCCAGATTGATAAGCATGTAGAAGTTGCACATCAACCTTTGCATTTACCTAAGTAAATTAGCTTTATAGTTGTAGAAAGAACTTTAATTTTTGTCTTTTTTTTTGGAGAGGGAAGGATAAATTAATCCTGATTTGCCTTTGTGCAGTCTCTGCTTTTTGACTTTTTTACAAAGAAGTTGTTTCATCCCTGTTTTACTTTTTACCAAAGATAATATATACATCCAGAAGAGCGCACATTTCATGAGTACACATCTCAATGCATTTTCACAAATTGAACACACCCTGTAAGCAGCAAACCAGATCAAGCACAGGCCTTTCCAGGAGGGTCACTTCGCCCCAAGGATAAACACTGACCCTGGAGTCTATCTGCATTAATTAGCTTTGCCTAGTTTTATACATTACATAAATTGAATCACACCATGCTCCATCCTGTTTTAATTGTATGTCTCCTAACCTCAGGCATATTAACCAAACATATATGTGTAAAGTTGATATACAATTAAAAATAGGCATCATATATATCTAATTACAGTTATGCATATTCATATAATAAAAATTACACATATACATTTACCTAATTTCAAAAAAAAGGTAAACCTCTAGAAAATTAAATTACTAAATTTGTAGGATTAAGGGTGGGAGCAAAACACCACGTAAACACAATAATTAATAAACATAGCCAAGTATAAAAAGGCCATTTAACTAAAATCCTAGTGATGGTTCCCAACAGCAGACAGAATGACACGTTGCTGAATAATGGGCAGGAGCAGATGGGAGATAATCTCTTTTCTCTTCCACACATAAACTGCTCTGTTTTCCAGCTGGGGGCAGTAACAACAATGTTTATAGTTAATGCTGTGCTAAACAGCGCACCCAGTATGTAAAGCTAAATTGGAGAAATGATGCTAAAAACTCATCGGCATATATGCTTAATTAGGAAGTTTTATAATGCCATTTATCCCCAGAACGAACACACTCTCCTCACTGATTGCAAATACTTGCCTTTTATCTCCGCGGAAGTGGGAGCATTTGTCTAATCATGGTGGCAGCCAACTTTCTAACATAAACAACCATTACAGGCAAACATCCTCACTCCCAATTGTTGTGTTTAAAGTGCTCGTGGCTGTTTTCACTACACTGAGCAGAACACTTGGGAGTCACTTGCTTTTTGTAAAGCAGCTCACATCAGGGCACAGGCTGGAAAAGCCATGTCCTTGGGGTGCCCAGAACTGGCATGTCCCTCTTAATTGGCTTTTCAGTGATTGTAGAGAAATGGTGAGGGCACGTTTTTCTCTTTCTCTCCTTCGTTCTCCTGCTTCTTAACAGGGAGCTGCTTTCAAGCTGTAGCAAGGACAGCAGTATCCTCCACTTGGCCCATTTTTCTGGGAGACTTTGTTCCTGTCACCCAGAGTCCAGGGGGACGCTGTCCCAGGAATGAGCTCACTGGGCTATTCCACACCCTCATGGCCCAAGAAGCCCCATCATTTTTTCCTGCTGCAAGTCACTAGAAAACATTTACATCCCATTACATTTCCCCCTCTTGAGTATGCATCCTATCCAAAGGGCGCAGTAGCACACACTTCTACCTTTCTCCAGTGAAGCTGTCACCATGGCAGGTGCTGTGGCCAGTAACACATGGAGGAGAATTCTGCATCTTCAGCATGCAGAACAGGGCAACAGCCAGAGTAACCCAATTGAATAAAACAAATATCAAAACAAGACATAAGCTGAAAATGCTAAGTAAGATAAAACAGGAGATGAGCTAGGACAAAAGGGTGGTTGAGTTCCTGGATGTGACATGACTAAACTGTGCATATTGGATCCGAGCACCCTCTGCAACAGTGAGTAATGAGGCAGAGCGGTGGCCACATGCAGCGTCTTTGCAAGGCTATTAAATGCTGTCATGCTCGTCGTTAAAAGGAATAGCGTCACTTCAATGTATGTTGCTAGTGCAGGTTTGAAAGAAGGTTCGGTGGAAGCCAGGCCAGGGAGGAACCGCTGTGTGGTGTGAGAAGGGTCCTGGGGCTGGCCTCCGCCTGCAGCAGCCAATGCACCAGCAAATTGCAAGGTGCTGCAGGTTGCTTGGTGGCAAGTCGCCTTGGCCTTGCTCTGCCAGTGGGAACGCACTCCCTGCTGAGTGGCGGAGGGCTACTGGAAGGAAGGACAGATGCCTGTGTTCTAGCAAGGGATTGACTGCCCTGCTCACCCCCTCCTGAAGCTCCCTCTATAACTGAGTTTGGGGGCTTACATATAACACATAGAAAAGGCTCAGATTTAAACTTCAAAACTGCTCAAACTGCAGTTACAGAGAAATCTCCAGAAAGTAGTGAGGATTGGTCTTGCAGTTGTACCGTGATACCCAGGAGTGACTTATTAGGCCAAGAGTCTCAAAAGATGAGCAATACCTGTACCCACTGTAATGTAAAGATTACAGTGGTCATTGAATGAAACGTGGGAATAGTGAACCATCTGTTACATTTTACCAACTCACACAGGTTGCTTACTGTTTGAGGTTTTATTTTGTTTTGTTTTCAGAGGCTCCTTAAGAGAAGATTCCAATGACATATATGTGTTTTTATTTTTTTAAAATGTAGTGTATTTGTTATTGGAAATGAGAAAATGCTGTGGTAGTCCATGTTCTTACTCATTAGGTGTAAATTGAAGTCAGATTTTATACAACTTATACATTTTCCTGAGATTCTTGATGGTTCCATATTGACCAAAAATTATGTGGTGTCATAAATATGAAATTTTGGCCATGCTTCAGAATCTCTTTCTCTCTTTTTGATTTAAAAGTAAATATCTATACTCTTTTTTGCATATTCATTCCTGCCATACCGTGCGAATGTTCTTTAGTGATGTTCATTAACTTGGTATAGGCTTTATCAGGTGTAAACATGTAGGAAAGAATACATAAAGAACTTAATTATAACTATTGGCACACATTTCATTCAGAAGGAGTGTAAATGCCCATATGCCAAAGACAAACAATTCTCTAATGCATATCAAACACATGCCACTTTTAGAAATTAAAAAGTCTTAAAAATTGAGATGAAGTGAGCTTGATTAAAGATTGGCAGCCCAGTGTATGGAGAGAATGTGACTTTGGAGTGAGCAAGCCCTGGGTTTGGATCTAATCTGTTCCACTTCCTGCAGAGTGACATTGGGCAAGTTATGTTCTTTCTCCGATTTTCAATTTCCCCATCTATAAAACAGAAGAAGAGTATCATCCACCTTCCAAGTCTGTGGTGAGGATTAAATGAGCTGCCTGTGCACAGGGGTCTTTACAGACCCAAGCCCAAAGGAGGCACTCAGAAAAGTTTGCTTTGTTTTCCTCACTTCCAAGAGAAAATCATCCACTCGACAGTAAAGGCAGATTTTCCTGAGAAAATTGATCTCTCTTCAAATCAAAGCATTTGTTATTAAAGTAGAGTCATGAACTTTTTTGATGCTCTGACTAGGGTAAACTCTTGAGTAAGTTACAAGTTATATTTTTCATGAGTATTTGTGGCATTAAATTTCAATTAAAATAGCAATAGCCGCAAATCCTGATGAAGTATAAGTTTAAAATGTTATCCTCTAGGGCCGGCCCGGTGGCGGACTACTACAGTGCGCCGCTTGGGAAGTGCGGCAACGCTCCCGCCGAGGGTTCGGATCCCACATACAGACCGGTTCCCGCTCACTGGCTGAGCGAGGTGCGGGCGCAACACCGAGGGTTGAGATCCCGTTGCCGGTCCCGGTCCGGTACGGGCGCGACACTGAGGGTTGCGATCCATTGCCGGACACAAAAAAAGACAAAAAGGAAAAAAATAAATAAATAAAATAAAATAAAATAAAATGTTA